CTCGCCATTTGCGGGAAGTTTTCTCTTTTCTGTTACAATTCGAAAAAAAAATGCAGCTAAAACGCATCGAATGCTCTCAGAAACTTACGGTGATGCTGCTCTGAGTGAAAGAACGCGTCGGGAGTGGTTTCAACGTTTTAATAATGGTGATTTCGATGTCGAAGACAAACATGGTGGTTATGATTTGTATTTGGTGTGATCAGCTCGGTGTGATTTACTACGAGCTCTTAAAACCGGGTGAAACCATCACAAGAGATCGTTACCGAATGCAACTGATGCGCCTTAGTCGCGCGCTAAAAGAAAAGCGGCCACAATATCAAGAGCGACATGACAAAGTCATCCTCCAACACGACAATGCTCGGCCTCACGTCGCAAAAGTGGTCAAAAAGTACTTGGAAACGCTGAAATGGGTAGTCTTGCCCCACCCGCCGTATTCCCCAGATGTCGCCCCTTCTGACTTCCACCTATTCCGTTTGATGGCACACGGCTTGGCCGATCAACATTTTCAATCCTTCGAAGAATTGGAAAAATAGATTGCTTCATGGATAACGTCAAAAGAGGACTACTTTTTTCGAGCCGGGAGCCGAAAATTGCCGGAAAGATGGGAGAAAGTTGTCGCTAGCGAAGGACAATACCTTGAATAATATATTTTGTAAGCACTTTTTCGCAATAAAACTTTTAATTTTGAAAAAAAAAATCGGCGGAAGCAAAGTTGTACACCTGATAGCATTGAAAATTCAAGTCAAATAGTTCATATTCAGCGGCAAGCGCAAACAGAGGACAAAACATTTTTTTTTAAATTTTAATAAAAAAAAAAAAATTACAGAAACTTTCACCAAATTCGTGACCACGTACAAACTTATAACAAAAATATAGAAAAAATTGCTTGATGCAACTGTATGTGTTAGACAAGTGGTTATTGAGTTTAGAGCTCTGCACCTAAAGGCCAAAACCTCAAGCCTCGAAAATATTTTCCAATTCAACATATCTACGATCAATGTAGATATGTAAATATGTATGCAATCAACAGGGATTTTGCTATGCACTTGTCATGCATTCCGTTGGATTTTTCTGCAGTTTTTTTTGACATTTTTTTTTATTAACAATTTTATTGTTAGTAAATAAACATACATACATACACTTAGCTTTTTTATCCAAGCTAATCGTTGTCATTGAAAGTGAATTTTTTCAAGGTGCGGACTTGTCAACGTGCGCTGCATTCAACCATTTAGTGTTGCCACAGACAGATACAAGTACCAGCGCATTTGCGCATGCGCCACTGCGCGCTCATTAAAAAAAAAAAAAGAGAAGGAAAAACACCAAACAAACAATTGCCTACAAATTAGCTTTTCATGTTTCATGATTCATGTTTTGTGATTTTTATTTTTATTTTGAGTTTTTTTTTTTTAATTAATTTTAGATTTTTTTTTTTCATTTTTCAACTCTTGTGATTTGTTTTATTTTTCATTTTGATTTATTTCAATCATTTGTCGCGTGTATTGAAATCTTCTGCGTATTGAATTACTAAAAAGGGCTTTCATGGCTGTGGCTTGTGATAAATGATTGTCATGGCGGTGATGTTGATGATGATGACTCGGTTGTCTGAACATTATATTGGCTAACAATGTAAATTGCAAATTTACCACATTTATTCGAGTAGCGCAAAGCTAACAATAAAGCCAGAGCCAGTAAATTATTCAATAACACACGCCAGTTTAAATTTTGATTTCATAAAAATTCGCCAATAAGTTTCTTATCAAAGTGGAATTGCTACATACATATGTAGGTGGGCTATTGGACGGTAGATCAAGGCATGGTGGTGTTAGATCGAACTACTTCGCCGTATGGGACGCTCTTTCCACCAGCCTTACTTACACCACCATGTGCAAAAATTTCCATGTCTGGGCTTAGACATATTGATGATATATTTATATATATTCCCTTTGAACGGTTTTTTTTATTCAAAACCTCATATATGAACAAATCTCTTGAAGATGAGGCTGTATTATTTAGTCCTCCAATTTCGATAATTTTCAGTCAAATTATTTGAAATATTCCACAAAGAAAAAATAATGAAAAAGTGTAACCGTTTAAGCATTCTCGGCTGCTCTTCTCATACATTTACTGGTGAGAGACGTGAATTTTTTCCAAGAAATAGAGGCAATAAGAAAAATTAAACATTTAATTTTTCAATTAAGCTACGAACTCATGATCTTCCGCAGGGCAGCGCGATCTCATATTCATTCGACTTCAGTAACCGATTTTCCTTTATCACTGCAATTTAGCAGCTAGAGAATTTATCAGATCGGATTACTCATACCAGGACGAAGAGCACCGTTCTTGAAACCACCTTATTTTATCAAACAATTTTCGAGAATTTCTCCTTACGGAGATGGTCGTAAGCTTTTCGTGTTCAAACCACTCGTTGAGACCCTGCGATTGATTGATGCGTTGCAAGATAGGCAGCTCTCTTTCTTCCTACTGCTAATCGGCATTTTTCATTGTAGCAGCTCTTTTGGCGACAGTTTCGAAAATCAATTATTTGTTTTGGTTGGTAAGACGTATGCAGCTTGAGAGTACCCTAATATCGAGTTATTGAGGAATATTTTCAAAAAGCAGCAGTATAAATCGAGTAGAGAAGAGCTTGGTTTTCTGTTGTGACGCTGTTAATCAACGTCGCACTCTTTTTGTTGAACAAAGATGAGCACGAGACAATGGTTACAGTCGATGGTAGGACTTTGGAGAGTATGTACGTGTACATCTTAAACACATGGCCGCCTCACATATGTAGCATTATCGATTTAGTTTGGAGTTTTTTTTTATCAGATCATAGGCAAGTGGTTCCACGGCACTCATAAATGGCAGCATTGTATGCCATCCAACCTGTCTCTTCCACAACAAATCCAATACCAAATATGTGGTACTTAATATTAGGTTTTGTTGTTGTTGTTGTTGTAGCGGTTCGGTAACCCCGCTTAGGCAAGGCTTAATTAGTCTGAGTCGCCGAGGTCATCTAAAGGTAGGCCCAGGAAACGAGCTGTTTCGACGGGGTGGACCAAAGAAAGAGGGGGGGTTAGATGAGTAGGTTTGAGGGGGCATGTGAAGAGGTGGTTAGTGTCGTGCGGGGACTCTCCACATGCCGGGCATACGTTAGGTATGCTGGGGTCTAGTCTGGATAGGTAGGAGTTTAACCTGCTACAATATCCAGACCTGAGTTGTGTCAGGGTTATTAGGTTTTGTAATAAATGTCACCAGAACCAATCCGCTTCCATTCTTGTATCCTTCATTAGATATCCGACACGCAGATAATGTTATAGATAAACGAGGGCATTAACAAAGGTTCGGCCAGTAGGTGGCTTTTAATTTGCTTTTGTTAAATCTTAAATATACCAAATCCTTTGCAATTACTTTATTAGTCTTCCTAAAATGTTTTAGTATGAGCTCCATGAAAGTCGATTAAATTCTTCCACTGATGACGTCACGGTACCTCTCTGTGAAAGTCCAAAATTGACGAAGATTCACGATTGACACAAGAAATGATTGCTGTTTCGCGAATATATATATATAAATATAATTGGCGTTTTGTAATCGCTGAAGCGATTTTCTGCCGAGCTTCTTCTACAATTTGTGTCGTTGCATCTGGATGTTATCCCAACAAATGGAGGGACCTACAGTTTATACTAAGCCGCCTTCGAACGGCTGATGATTTTCTTTTGAGGAGCTTTTCTTCATGTTAGAAATACACTCGAATGGGTTGACACACATTTTTTTGTTTAAATTAATTTCCTACAACTTTTGGATGTTGGGCGTACCAGGAAAATGTTAACCACAATATTTTTGATTACCAGTTGGTCAGTTGAACCTACCTCCTTAAGGAATCGAACAGCAGCAGCTGCAGTTACTTGCCCTCAAATCATCTTGGTTATCATAAGCTGCTGGTCTGAAACTCAGTACATACCATCGCTGCGCGAGGATAGAGGATATAAGTTGTCACTCTTGGTATAGCAAGCTGCTTGATTCAGTTCCAACGCCCATTTACAGCCGGCCGTAGCTGCGATGAACAGTTGCTGCGATTAGACTTTAACGATACCACAAATTGAATATAGCGGAAAACCTGCTCTAAAGCTCCGGAAAGTTCTTCTTGGTCAAAAAAAAATGTTGGCCAATTGTTAGTTTTCAGTTTTAATTGGAAGAAAAGTGCAGCTGAAGCCCATCGAACGCCGACTGTTAAGAAATGCCTAGAGTGGCTTCGACACTTCAAAATTGGTGATTTTAGCGTCAAAGACTAAAATGGATGACTTACAACGGTCAAAAATGATATAAATGCATGAGAAGGTGTTTTTGCAACATGACAAGGCCGGGCCCCGCGTAGCTGTAACAGTCAAAAACCAACTGAACAATGAATTGGAGAGTTTGACTACTAACTTTTACCGACTACTAAATTTTTCGGTTGATGCAAAACGATTTATACAGTCAGTTCGGGTCTCTTGAACAAATCGGAAAAACGCTCAATCATTGGATTGATTAAGAGGTCATATCTTAGAGAAGGTATTTGAAAATTATCAGAGAGTTGAGAAAAAGTAGTAGCTTCCGATGTACAATTCTTTGACTTATTGTCAATTTTCAATTGGAAAAACGTATGAGTGCATAAGTTCGTGCCCGATTCCNGGGAGTGGATTGCCGAACATGATGGCGAATACATAATTGATTAATAAAAGCGCTTTCTTCAAAAAATTTCAATTTTGGCTTGCACTTGAGATCGGGCACGAACTTATGCACTCATCCAATATAAGATAACGCGCGAAAGTTCGTGTTACTTCATTTTCCCAATAAAAAGAAAAAAAGGTCCGAATTAATCGTTGCACTTACTTCACTTTCTCTTATTAAGATTTTTGTTAAATACATATTTTTAAAAGTGAAAGTAATTACACTCTTACCACAAACATTCTTTCTTCATAAATATTTATGCGTTACACCTGCCCTCCCCAAGTTCCACTTACCGTCGTTAGCAGACAACGCGACTCACGTATCGCACCACAATACCCAAGGAAGCTCATGAAGAACATAACAGCGCCGATAACAATCAAAACGTATGCCATTTGCTCGATGACACGCGGCTGTGTGAATTGCTGGAACGAAGAAACAAAAGAAAACATATGAGAAAAGAAATAGAGAAATTGTCCAAACCGATGGAGACGCTGATAGAAAATATTTATATTTAATTATTTATGTTTTTTTTATTTTGACTAGCATATGTATGTATATGTGTGTGTGTATAAATTTGAAATAACAACAACAACTATGAACAGTAATTAAAATTTATGTAGAATTTTTAATATTACAAACAATGCACGAATGCAGCAAGTAAACGAAAATGAAAGCGCAAATATATGTGTAAATACGTATGTACGTGAGCGAGAGCGTTAAACACTTAACTGCGGGTATGATTTACGCAAAGCTCGTTGACCATTGGCTTTGTAACTAACAGCTCGGATTGCGTGAAAAAAGAACGTGAGAACAAAACAACGGCAAATGATAAAAAAATATGATAAAATTAAAATAATTTTTTTTTCACATTTATTTTTACCTTTAATTATTTCGAAAACCTCTTACCATATAATTATTTCTCGTTTATATTGTTCTATTCTATGCGTTTCTTAAGAAACGTGTTTTAAAACCATTAACTTCTGAACTAGTATTTAATATTGGTACCACATTAGGGTGTGCGTTAATTGCCAAGTTGAATGCATTTGTTTTTATTTATTTTAAATTCATTTTATTTTGGCGTGAAAAAGTCTCTTTATATTATAGAATATCAACACTTAATTTTTTTTTTGCTTTTTACGGTTTTTTGGCTCAAAACATTATAGTGGTCAAGTAAATAGTTCGTTCGTTTTTTTAATTATTTTTCAAAATATGATAACTTTGTGGACATTTGTCCGATTTAAATCAAATATGTGCCGTTTTTTCGTAAATTGGTTGCCAACGAGATGCCAATTTCATTATACTCCTCTCGTAGTATGCTGCGTCTCTATTGGCAAAAAACTCGGAGAGCCAATTTTCACAGGCCTCTCTTGAGGCCAACTTCTCACCATAAAGCGCGTTCGCCATGGACAGAAAAATATGGTAATCACTTGGAGCAAGGTCTATAAGAACTATAAGGTGCGTGCATTGGGACCTCCCATCCGAGCTGAGGCCTGGCGTTGTCCTGATGGAAGACAATAGCGAACTTTCTCTTTGATGGTGTCCATCTTTGACGAGCGCTCACAACGTACTGAGTCAATCACTCGAAAAACTGTCAAAGACAAACTTTTAGCGCTAATAAACACGTTTTCAGCGCCGTATAGTATGGCATGATGCAACACGTAACACTACTACCGAACAAACTTTTTACTTGACCTAATATTTGAACAATCGCTTGTATGGGGGCTACATGATATAGTTCTCCGATTTCGATGATTTTCGATTATAATGTTTGTTTGTATATAGCTGTATTGAATACAAAATGTCATGCTTTTTGACAGAGTTTTGATCAAATCAAATTGTTTAGGTATGAACAAATCGGTGTAATGGTGCTATATGTGATAGTCGTCCCATTTCGATAATTTTCAGTACCAACAAAGTAATTTATTGTACATATGTGTGTAGAAAACAAAATTGCATGCTCGTATATTGCCAAGTGGTTAGCATCGAGCAATTTCGGAGAGCCAAGGTTTGAGTCCTGTTACGACCTTCGGTCGTCCCCCGAAGGAGAATATCAAGTCCACCAAGTGTATTTCTAACATGAAATCAAAACCTCTCCACGAAGATCCGTCATCCAATCGGTAAGTTTATATAGCCGCATAAGTTTTGCGGGGATACCAAATTCGCATGGTCAATGGTGGATTTACCAGGTCTAAGGCCACACTAATAAGGTCTAATCAGTTTGTTGATTGCGAGCTGTAGCCCTTCACACAATCCCCTTGAAAGGACCTTATATGCGTTATCAAGGAGGATCCTTGTTTATCGATTTGGCTTGCTTTCATCCGACCATATTCTGCAAAATAACTGATGCATTGTCAACTCTTCACTACCATGTTTGAATATCTCTGACGGGTTGGCCATCATCTCCAGCCGTTTTGTTGTTTTTTTAAGCGATTGCTATTTCAACTTCTTCACGGTCAGGCAATGGAACGTCTTTTGCATCGTCATCAATTGGGATTTCGGTCTCACTATTTCTGGGTGTTCCATTTGCACTGCCATTCGGCAGGCTGGAGAAGTGTACTCTCCATAAATTTTGTATACTCTGAGCTGCTGACACTAGTCCTACAAGAGTTTGCCTCTGAGTCCTACAAGAGTTTGCTCCGGTCTTAAAAACTTCTGTAAGTCGCCGTATCTTTCGTATCGTAGAATTTTCGTGCACTACTCTTGCTGGCCAGCTTCTCTAGCCTTTCTTACACACACAACTCGGCCTCTTTCTTTTTTGCCCGTACATGCGTCTTGCTTCCCTTTTTATTTTTCGGTATCTATCCTATTCTGCCCGTGTTATCTGTCTTCACCCAAAACGACAAGGCGGTCCTCATTGTACCAGCTGTTTTTTGTGATATTTCAGAAATGCAATATTTTTTTTTCTTGCAGCTGTACGTGGAGAGCTTGAAATGTCGTCCCACAGTTCTCTTATATCGAGTTGCTGATGAGTGCTTTCAGAGAGCAGGTATGTAAGTCAAGTTGAAAACTCATCCAACCATAAAAAATCAAAGCTCTTCATAAAAATCCATTAGCAGTTCGGAGGTGGCTTAGAATAAACTATAGGTGCCGCCATTTCTTAGAAGTACAACAAGACACACACTACAAATCGGAGGTGGAGCTGGGCTAAAAGCGTGTACAGAGTTCATCTGTGTACCAAGTTTGGTGGAAATAACTCAAAAACTAGGAGCTTAGTGGGTTTACGTACAAACAGACGGATGTACAGATGAACAGACGGTAGGGCAGACGAATAGACGGGCATGGCTGAATCAACTTGGATCCTCTTTCTGTGCCGATCAGTATAAATTTTAATGGGTCTATCTCTTCTTATTCTGGAACTAACATACAACGGATCAACCATCATCTACATGAAAGGTATAAAAACTGTGTTGTTGTACTTATGAAACATAATATAGTTGTTTCTTCTTCTTAACAAGTTTGTGCGCAGAAGCTTAAAATTAATTCGAGATTGAATTTCGAAGAAATTTTTGAGCGAATTACACTCTTGAAATCCCTTTGAAAACCCTACAGAGTAAAAATAAACAAGCAAAGACAATAAACTTTCAAGTTTCTGATACTGTTTATGTAACCCGCTTCTTCTCTGTGTTCAAATTTCTTAACATTTGTCGCACGGCATTAACGCATCGTCACTTTTGTATATACAAAAACATATATATTATAAAAAATATACAATTTGTGTGTTGCATTTACATGTTATATATGAGTAATTTAGCAATTTGTAGACTTTATTCGGTGCCAGCCAACAATTGCCCAAACTGCCTGCATGAAAACTAACACACTGTCGCGCTACCATTTGAAAATATCACAGTAAATCAAGCAAATCAACGAGAAAATTGCATATTTCGCGCTTAAATATAAAATAAGTACGGACTTATTGCATTTTTTCACGCGCCCACAAAACTGGCAAAAATTACAGGTCTGAGTGAAATGTTTTTTTAAACCCCCTAGGTACATACACATACATACATAGATACATATATATAATTATGTGTTTCAGGTGTATATTATTAAAAAGCGAGTGTTTGAGTTCATTGTCCGAAATTCTTTATTGCATTTTTACTTATTCGCTTTGAACCGAGGTGTTGGTATCAATTAGTGCACTCACTTTCCCCGCTATTCCCAACGCCGCTGTTGAATTCCAGTTAAATGGAGCTTGCAATGCAGGCGGCCCAACAACGTTTTGCTTTCAAAAACAACATTTCCATACTAATTTTCTTTATTTTTGTTTTGTTTTATTATTATTTTTTTTTGTTTTGCTGCGTTTCGACATCATTAAAGTATATTTGTGCCTACAATAATAATAATTTGCTTGAACGGCGTTCGATGTTCGTGTGGCAAGTGACCAAAAGGCTAGTCAGGCGCCAAAGGGTGCGTACTGCGTTGATTGGCTAATCATTTTATGCAGCGAAGCGGTCAGTGGTGAAGTATGTTTTGGAGAAAGTTGTACAAACAACGGAATTTTCATTTACATCTAGATGTACATAGTGTAGATATGTCATGGCAGCCCAACCCAATTCGATTTTGTCGACAAGATTTCTATGGTATTTTATTTCCTGGATACACTTCCTTCTTCCTTCACTTCCTTTTCAGTTCATTTACATTTACTTTGTTAGATGGATGTAGGTATTATAGAAATATTTCTGCTGTGCTGCACACGTAAGTAGATTTTTATGTTTTTCGTATTAAAAAAAATTAGGTCAAAACCTGTCTACGACTGGCCTTTTTGAGCTCATCGTCAAATTTATTATTTAATATTTGGAAAATTATGCATGACACATTATTAGTTGAGTAAAAGGTTTGAACGAGCCTTGCAAATGAGCTGGGCGTTGCGATACACAGCAAATAATTCAACATAGAGAGATAAGTTTTTATCAATGGTGAGGCTAAACCCGTTTAATTGGAGCTACTATCGTTATAATTCTTCTCGGTTTCAAATTTTTACCTTTTGGCTCAATTTAATTTAATTAAACTTTTTATTTTATATTATTTCATATGTTTTTCTTTTAATTGGCTTTAAATTATTTTATTTTATTTTATTTCATTTTATTTCAAGCTATTTTATTTTAAATTGTTCATTTTATTTAATTTTCTTTTTTTTGTTTTATTTAATTTAATTTAAATGAATTTAATTTAATTTAATTTATTTTTTTTATGTCTTCTATTTTTTTCAATTTCATTTTATTATATTTGATTTATTTTATTTTATATTATTTTATTTTATTTTATTTTATTTTATTTTATTTTATTTTATTTTATTTTATTTTATTTTATTTTATTTTATTTTTTTAATATAGTTTTATTTTATTTAATATGATTTTATTTGTAATTTTATTTATTTAATTTGATTTAATTTATTTTAATATTTTTTTGTTTTGCTTTATTATATTGTTTTTTTTTTTAATTTTATTAATTCGATTTAACTTAATTTAATTTTACATAATTTTTAATTTTAATAATTTTATTAACTAATTTATTCAGTGTATGTGCTTAGTAAAGCTCAGAAAATATTTTATATGTAAAATTGTTTGCAAACATTTATTTCTTATTTCATTTCTGACATATCCGTACAAGTTTTTAATGGAGCATATTAAAAATATCAGCTTTTTAGATAATAAATATTAATTCGATGTATCTTTATATGTATGTAGTCTTTGAAGTAAACACGCAAAAGGCAAGCAAATCAACTTGCACATTCGGATGTACATAAAAACATACAGAATAAGACCCACCCTTTCTTCGTGGCGACGTGGCGACTATAATTGCTGGCTATTAAATCTTGATAAGCTCGCGATGGTGACACGCATGGCCCCGAAAGGACCAGACAGGTGCACAGACAGACAGAGAAGAGCCAGCAAACCAAAGGACTACTGGTTGGGCTGACGATTGGAAAAAAGAAACCCCCAGTTTTAATATTTTAGTGGAGGAAAAATATTAATATACGTGGAGTTTACCGATTCCACAAATGAACATACTCGCACATATGTATATGTTACACACATTATGTGAGGTGCATTTCTATTACTTTGGCTGATGAAATAATTACTAATGACCGTTGCACAACACAATTAAATAAAATAATAATAAGCAATTGAAGTGATTGCGTCGAATGGTGGTTGTGTCTTTTAGTAGTACGAGTTGTTAAACATATTATATATATACATATTTTACAGATGTAGTATTGCATTGTAGCAAATATTAATACTTACATTAATTTGATCACTTTCAACCATCTTGAGCAGCGCAATTAATGAGGCTTTATCGACAGCCAGCCAAATGCCCGTTCCAAGCACTATTGTGCCGATGACCTGTGGTTTTAAAGACAAAAAAAAATATTGTTTTTAGAAAAAAAATAATAATAATAATAAAAACAAATAAGCATGAGTACTTAAAAAATATTATTAACCAAACAAAAATCAAGGAAGTGTAAATTTTTAATTATCAAAACAAAAACAATATAATACATACGAGTGTGTAGAAAGTAAAATGTATGCAAGTATGTACATTTATAGATGCTCAAAATTTGATATGAGTTCATTCATACATATGTACATACGTATTTATTATTTGCGTATAAAATTTCATTTTCAATTGTCATATACATACACATGTAAAGGTGTCTAACTATACATAAATTTGTATGTACATTTTGTTTAAATAAATATTTACATACAGCATTTAGTTATAGATACATACCATACATATGTATATACACGTACATAAATATTAAACTCTTTTGCATATTTACATTGTGGTTTAGTGAACTCGCCTTGAATGCAATAAATATCTACGTGTATTTACATACATACATACATACATATCACTTTTGTGGTCATAATGGAAAGTCTAAACAAGTTTTCACTTTTATTTGCTCATTCACATACATACGCATATACATTTATACAATAATCGTACATGTACATATGTATGTATGTATGTACTACATGTTGGCAAAGTCCTTGGCCTGAGTTATTAAACGCTTATAAATTTATACTATTGTACATTGTACAATAGCATCTGCATACTTACAAAGAAGAGGAAGTTGAATATGCATAGCAGATATTTAGCCAGCCAGACGCCGCAATCGGAACCCATTTTTTGGCAGTTTATTTTGATAACGGTAGTCTCAAAACGGTGGTACGTCTGTAAGGAAATAAATAAAAACCCAAATATTATTTATTAATAAAACTAAGTTGTTATTTATATTTTTTTTATAAATATTTATGGACTATGTGGAATAAATAATCAAATAAAAAAATACAGAAAGATAAAAGATTTTGCAATTATGGAAAATAATTTTTTTAGAGCGCACTGCAATCAAACGAAACTACCAAAAAAAAGGCAACTAAAATGATTTAAAACAAGATATATGGCATAGTTAATAAATTAAAAATAAAAAAATACATAATAATTTTTTTAGAGGGAGCTAAAATGATTTCAAACAAGAAAAAGGCGCTGTCTTCGGCCATCCCGACGTATTTACACCATGCATGAACTCATCAAATTTATTGCTAAATGTAAAATCAGATTTCTAGGTTGTAGAAAATTTATTTAAATAAAAAATTAACTTGAATTTTATAATGTCGGTGGCCCCTTGACAGAAAATGTCAACCCCTCCGAAAGTATTTTTGACATTAAATAAAGGCTCCTTATAAAAAACCATCAGCCGTTCGGAGGCGACTGTTGGTCCCCTCATTTGTTGGAACAACATCAAGACGAAAAAACCACAATTGGAAGAAAAGCTTTGCCAAGAATCGCTTCGGCGGTTACAAAGCGGTATTTATTTATAAGGTCCAATCAACTTCCGGTCCTTAGTGTCAGTTTTTTTTATGTGATAGCCTCTTTCAAGGTGAAATGTGCCTCGTCGCTATAGACAATTTTTTCAAGCACCCAATCGTCGTATGTTTGGTATTGCGAATTGTCAGCCGGCTTCAGTTGTTGTGCCATAAGAATATCATCCCAGCATTTGAAAACGTCGAGAAATATACACATTCGGGTCTTCGACTAAACTTTTACTTATAGCAGCAATCCTTGAGGTGACACGAACGAAACTATGATTCTCACGCCTCAAAATATCTGTAGCTGATTCACCCTCTTTAATTTTTTTTTAAGCGGTAAGCTGGTGATTTTGAAGCTTCAACATCGGTTTTTCTCAAAACAATATTTTTCAAGTCCGTAACCAAGTATTCTGGGGAACGGCTGAACCGATTAGTCTCACTGGCTTCTGAACAATATTTTCTAGTACATTACCGATGAAAAGTTTTTTTAATGCGCAATTAAACACCAAAATTATAGAAAAATATTAAATCTCTTTTCTGAGAAGACGCCATTTTGTCAAACACTTTTTTTGACCCGTTTCATTTTTCATTTCAGATGATTCACTTCAGAAATACAATGGAATACGAAGGTGTCATAATATATTTGTACAAAATAATAAATCTAAAAGTTTTCTCGTGAAAAATACATTTGAAAAACCTCACCTATATTTTTAAGACCAGAAATTTCCCTGAATGTGGTCATTTAAACTGTCCACACTGAATATTGTGCAGTCTTTTTTTTTTTGTGAAGTTGGTAGCCCTGTTCTTAATTACTATGTAAAAAATGAGCGCTTCTGTCAGCGAGTTTGTTTGCTGCAGCTATTGAAATTAGTCGACCTCAGTTCCCTCTGCGATTTTTCTTTTGCGGCCACAATCGAGTCGAGACGGGTTCCACGAAGTGGTAAATAAAGTTTTGGAAACAAAAATAGTCGCATAGGGTCAAATTCGGTGAATACGGTGGTTGGTTTTAAATTAGTTTACAACTACAGCTCATGAGAGTTTCCAAAAATGGGTGGCTCATCGGTACGAAATCAAACCAGGAATATCGCAAAAAAAACAATTTCTAGAAACTTTCTGTTCTCTATGTATGTATATATTGTATTTATATACGAGTGTATATATGTAAAAAAAAATTTTATTCTTCGGAAGCGGGCTACAAATTGACTGTGAATAATCATAGATCGAAAAGGAACGCTTGACTATCTTCGAAGCATTCATATTGACATTTTCGTGAAAGATTTCGAGCAGCGAATAAAAAGAAACTTAATATTTTGACTTAGATGACGTTTAACTACGATTTTGTGTATTGTTCTTCACAATAAAGGTTGGAATAGAAATATGAAAAATTACAGAAAGCTACAGCAATATGTAGCCGGATCTGTTAGTCTTATAAATAAAAGTAAGTGCCCGTTTTTGGTGTTACATTATACCAAGAACAGAATTCAACAAAAATTATACAGCATATTTCGCTTATTATGCAGTTGGTTAAGGGGCACACCTTGTGTAATGGCATAACTAAGACGTGATTTTTTGGGTATTTTTATTAAAGAAAATACTTTATCAATTATTTCAAAATTTTTAGAATATATTTATACATGTTTCAAGAATATACAATGAAATTTTTCAAGAAAAAAATTAAATATTTTTTAAGTTATACAATTCTACAACGGCGCGAAAAAAGGTCCTTCACTGCTGCCGTGATTCCGGCCTTCTCCGTGGATGAAATCTAAAAAAAAAATTCTCATTAAATGACCTTACAATGACCAAAAATTGACAATATGGCGGCGTTTTAGAAAAAATTGTCGAAATTTACCCAAAATTTTGATCGTTTTCGGCCTGCCAAAATTCGATTTTTTGATCAGATCAAAAATCGATAGGTCTTTGTACGGAGAACTAAATATAGAACATGTGCAAAACTTCGATAATGATCGTAACATTTGTTTTTGAATAATCACTGCAGCAAATTCAGAAAATGCTGTTTCGAAAAAAACGCGTTCAAAGATAAAATGATCGTTTTCACTCGTAGCTAATGAGACTCGCTAGCTGCCGAGCGGCTGCTCTTTAAATTGCTGTAACTCAAAAACTATTTGAGATATCGATTTGAAATTTTAATATGTTATTTTTAATGGTGTAATCTACCGAAATATGAAAAAGTATGGATATTTTTGAAATTTCACACTAAGTGTGTCTTTTATTATTATCACGAACTTGGAAAAGGAGACGTGGCAACATTAATTTCTAAATATGTTGTAATACCATGTATTTGTGTTTGTAAATCCCTCTTAAACGGATAAACTGATTTGAATAAAATTTTGTGGACGTGTTTAAAAAAATTCAATAATATTTAAATTTAAAATTTAACAGAGTGACCAACTGTTTTGAAAATTATTATATATAAACATCTCTTGTAAATGCGTCTATGACTCAACTCATGTGAATTAGTTGAAACGATCTTGACGAAAATTTGTGGATGTGTTTAAGTGGACCTAATTACAATTCTGCAGAGCTACCATATATATAATTAAAATAAATGAAGAGATTGAAGAAAGGCTTTATAACTTAGAACAGCGTGGCACCTGTTTCATATAAAACAATTGATTACAAAATACATGATAAACAGATTTGAAAACTTTAACGGTAGAGAAATAGAGTCGCCAACAGTTTGAGAACTGTAACGCATTTAAATTGATAAGCTCAATGAAATATTTTATGGAAGTTATCAGCCTTACGAGAATTAGGAAAACATACATAGCAAAAAGTTTTCGAAGGATACCGCCTCTTAAGAATTTTAAATACAATAAAAATTTTCAGATAATAAATTCTACAATATTGGTTTAAAGCTAGAGATATTTAGAGAAGACTTCAATGTAAACAAAATCTAAATTTTTTGAAATCAGTATACTTTTATAAAAAATATTTTAAAAATATTTTAAAAATATTATCAAAATTAAAATGGGTAGAGATCAAAATAAACCACAGTAAAAAAGCTTAAAACCTCGGTTATTGTTTTTGGAATATGCTAAAGAGAGGTAAGCTTAAAAATATTTAGTTCATATTAAAATTTCTGAAATTATTTGCTTAACGCGCTGGTTAATAACCAAAACATGCCAGGCATGACTTTCGTTTTAACATAAAACTTTCTAATTAGCACCAGCAAACATGCATAGAGTCATTATGCTGCGGTCTCAAGTCAATATATGGAGTTAAGGCGTTAACTATCATATGTACAAATGCAAGTATTAGTGTATCATTAACAGATTGATTAAATATTTCACACCTTCATCAGATGTAATTTTGAAAAAAGCAATGAAAGGCATTTAAAACGCATTTAAAAAAAATATGAAATTAAGCCCATTTTGAACATAAGTTTACCTATGTATATGTATGTACAGAGCTTTATGTATTGCACCTTGCAGGGAAAATGTAGATTTAGTTGCAACAATTCACTGTAGCTCGAGAAGTTCACGGTTCAAGTCTCGCTACAAACATTTTGGTGTCGAGCATGCCGAAATTTACTAGTATTTAACTAGTGTGAAGCTGATAGTCAGATAGTTGGATTTTAGTTTATAACTGGTATTTTGCCAAAATTCACTGTAGCTCGAGAAGTTCACGGTTCAAACAATTTTTGTGCCGAACATGCCGAAACTAACTAGTATTTAACTAGTATAAAGCTGATAGTCAGATAATTGGATTTTAGTTTACAACTGGTATTTTACCCAGCAAAAAAAAAAAAAAATAAACAAATAAAGCGCATATGTATATGCAAAGGGTCTGCCATTTTGCGATTTCAAATATAAACGTAAACCTTCCCTTCCTTTCCTTTTTTGTTAAATATAAAGTTTAACCATGGCATTATATGGGAAGCACTACATCATTCGATTGACCGCCTCGTAAATTTTTGCAAGCTTCGATCCGTTTGAGGTAATTTTGAATCCCTTTTTGCCACATATTCGGCGGTGCCGTAGCCGCAACTTGACGAATGTTGGTTTTTAACTGCTCTAGAGGTAAAGGTTTATGCGCATAAACACGGTTTAGCCACCAAGAAAAGTTCAACGGTGCCAAATTGCTCGATCTCGGTGGCCAATTGACAGCGTAGAGACGAGAGGTTACGAGGGTGTACAACTAATTTGGTGACAAAGCTTTACTCGCTACTGTTGTGTGGCATATGGGACCATCAACCATATTACGTTCAAGTTATGTTTTTCTATATGCGAACATGTTTGAGTAGTTGGACGATTATGTGCCTGAAATGTCGCCACGTTTGAATTACCATTTTTGTAGTTATTAAGCAATTTTCATAAATATCGGACTTTTAACAAGAACAAA